CAGCTGCTGCTGTCAGGCCTGCAAAGAAGTACGAACAAAATTTAATACACATTATTCTATGATTCTTCATTATTGGAGGGACTAAGACTGTTACTCTTCCTTTATGCTTGCTACAGAACAAACAGAGAACATTGCAGAGTATTACTCCTCTTGTTTGATTCGAAGTTTGACAGCTTTTTAAAGTAAAATGTTTCTCACCCTATTTAGATAGCTACTTCTATATGTCCACCTAAATCTTAACTTGGTATCCAGTAACTACAGCCATAACACAATCATAACTAACTGGAGATACAAAGACATGCTTTCAGAAATCTAACTTTGCTTTGAAATAGTGTCTTAAGTGTCTGGCTATGAATAGGTGAACATGTACACAACTGTACTTAGAAAAAAAAAGAAAACCTTTAGATCGCAAATGTTTGCCGTGATAAAGAAAACATTAAAAAATCAGGTCTATAATTTCTATTTAAGAGTAACAGATGAAAGAACTCAGTCATTTCTTTCGCATTTTACACATAACAGCAAGGACATGTGGGAATTCTAGGATAAATTTTTAGAAGAAAGGTTAGCAATGATAACTTTGGTAAAATACTTGTTCTGCTTTCCCCTTCAAGGCATTAAGACATTTATCAGTGAGAAGAGGAATTATTAAACCTATTTAATCTCAATCCCAAAGCCATTTTGAGGCAATCCAAATGCTCTTCCTACCAAACCAGATTTCCACTATCCAGCCATTTACAAGAATGTTCAACAAAAATGAGAAAAGTTCTCTTTGTGAAAAGCAATTAAAGAAATGGTCCAGCAATGCCTTCAAAACTCAAAATTAGATAGTCTTTACTCAGCTTCAGAAGTTTTTGCCCCCTTCCCTGAGGCAGGGTAATTTTTCTGTAATTTTTCCAAACAAGGCTGTTACCCACTCAGCTCCCTTTGCCCCAGCCTGGGTCGTAGCAAAGAGAAGTCAGTGTCAGACTTCCACAAGAGCTGCCTCTACCCCACATGACTGATTTAGGGAGCAGAGATGGAAATTAAAGAGACTTAGATGCAAGAAAATAAAGAGAAGGCATTAAAACAGTTAAGTTTTATGCAATTATGCAATCTCGGCCCTCAGCCTGGGATGCCATATGAAAACAGATCCTCAGTCATTTTGAATCAAGATTCTTGCCCTGACCGTGGAGAAGGCTTGAAAAAAATCAGTGTAATTAGTTTAAAGGTGTCTGCTTGTCTGATTTTCAGCTACTCTGAGAGGTGTGAAGTGTCCTATGGATCTCAAGAGGAATTAACTGCACAACTTACTATTCTAGTGGGCCCAGGCTGCTGCCCAGCATAGGAAGAGTGCAATTTAGCAGAAAAGACCAAATAAACAAATAATCCCAGGCTGACGAGGTAAATATTGCTACCACCATTGCTTCCAAGGGCCTCTGGTTGTCTCCCTTGCCTCCTTAAATGGAAAATGAGTTCACTCTTGCCATGTTTTCGGCTAGCAATGGGGAGAGACAGAAGGCAAAATCCAGCAGGGAGAAGGCAGAAGGTGAACGGACATCAGGAATCTCTGCCATCCCAGGGAAAACAATGAGGTAGCACATGAGGTGCCTTTGAATATATTGCGGCTTGACTCAAGGTTGTTTTCCTTTATTTCTTTGCATGACCACGTAAAGATTAGCAAACAGTTCCAGCCTCCCGACTCGCCTCACAGGCCGACTTCTAACACCTCCATGTGCAATGAGAATTACCAAGTATGTGATAATTACATTCTGCATAGGCAGATCAATATTATTTAGAAAACTGCTATTTCAGGTAGAAGAAGATGTACCAAAAGCCAAAAATCAAATCAGAAGGTGGATAAATACAAGATTTTAATTTTATTTTAGCTTCTTCTACTATAACAAATTGTGCACATTTTGATCTTAAGAAGGTATTGACAATAACATGGATTGCTTCCAGTGATATTTTTACCTTAGAGGAAGGATATGAAGTTATACATTACACAAATTTGGTTACAGTCCCTAAATTAGGCCACAGAAAAAGGGATGGTGCACCTCTGAACTTTGTTTTGCATCCTGTGCTCATTAAACAATACAATAACCTATACTTCCTTTTTTTATATGCATCACTGACAAGCTAAAACTAGCATCTTTAAAGAACAATCCTTTGGAGGAATATTCAAATATGATACAGCTAATGAATACAACAGTAGGCCTCAAACTTTTGGCTGTGACTGCACTTCCAGACCACCAGTTTTTAAGTGCTTCCGAAAATACCATATTAAACAGACATGGGACTTTTCGGCTTTTGAGCCAACCTGTGTGGGGTAATGACCCAGTCACAGAACCACTAAAATACAAACTCACTTTTGCTACAAAATCTGCAAAAAAGTATACTTCAGCGCTCAAATTCACATCTTCTTCATTCTGGTGTTTCCCTCCCTGTCACTCTGAAAAAACTCCTAATAAATGACTTCTCTAGCACAGGGCCCGACTTACCTCACTAAGCTCACTAGCAAAGACAGCCAAATACATTATGAACAGAAGAGGATAATAAGCTGCTATGTGTCTCTATGTATATTTTAGAATTCTGAACTTGAAAGTTCAGGTATGGGCATAAATACTTGGGATTTTTTTTTTTAAATTAGTTGTTTGAGAAAGCCTTTTGATTTAAACATTATTTAATACCGCTTTACTCTTACAACAAGTAGCCAAGGAATTTCTGAGCTGTACACTTTTCTACACTACTGGAATTTTATCTTCAAATATGAGGTAACCAAAAGTCACCTATAAAGGCAACTGAAATGAAAGAAACTGGCTGAATAGCCACTTAGATATTTTTTACTCTTTACAAATATTTATTTGAACAGTTAGAAAGTGTCCAGGCCAAAATATTAAATGGATTAAAGTCAATGGTAGTTGTCATTAATATTCTGAAATTGATAAGTTGTTTATGTCT